AGGACTAAAGGCTTTGCTATAGTCGCTGCTGTGGATACTAATCCGATAGGACTAAAGGCTTTGCTATAGTCGCTGCTGTGGATACTAATCCGATACAACTGGTTTCTTACTATAGCTTCCTGATCTCATGACGGTGTTCTCCCTCCCTCACGCCGTGCAGCACCACTCAATAACATAGCCGTGTGGTCGGAAAGAAAGTTCAGGGACACGGCACAAACTATTTGTCCCACTCGGAGCGAAATAATTTGCACCGCACAGAGAACGTTTTCTGCCGCGGGTTTTCCAAAATGCCTTTGCACAGCACGCGCCAATCTTCTCTGGCCACGTGGTCAAGTGCTGGGTCACCTCCCTGGTCCCAACCAGTCTCCGCAGTGTCTCGTGGGACAGCATCAGTACAGGCCCATTTTCCAACACACGTCAAAATAATTTGGCACAGCGTGGCCCAAAAACCATTGTGTCACACACACTGTGACCACCGTCAGGTAATTCAGTGTAATGACCTGCAAAACCACAGACTGAGAACTCCGCTATTTTCTGAGTTTTGCTGCTGGATTGCATGACTTGTTGAGTGTTGAGATTTCTTGTGCATGTTTGCTGAGTTTCCGTGTGTCCGTCTGAGTGCATGAGTGTGTGTGGATGTGACCCACCAGGGAACTGGTATGCTGGGAAGGCCCTCGAGCCTGATACTTACCCTGTGGCCGTGCCTTTGTGGGTTGCCGCAGGTTGTGGCGGTAGGCTAGACCCGTTAGGATGGAAAACACGGGTAGGCTTAGGTCCGCAGGGTGGGAAAACACTTTAGTGGGTAGGTAGGCAACAAAGAAGACAAAAAGTCAAGGTAGGCAAAAGAAGACAAAAAGGTCAGTAACTTTAAGGCCGAGTGAATTTTAGAAGTCCGGTAGGCTTAGGTCTCGGGGTACCGGTCGAGTAGTCTTGAGTCTAATGTGTGTACCAAAGGATATCAGACCTGCAATGATGTTTGAGTCCCTCTGGAAGGAGGCAGGTACCGGTAAGCTTGCAAGGCAGAGCGTCCTGGGAAGTCGCTGCCCTGCCCGAAGACAGCAGCTGCCCGGTATACGTTTGGGAAGAGCAACGAGCTCTTCCTCATTTTGCAGTGCGCAAGTTTGGTGTCACGCTACTGGAGCGAGCGCTTGGTGTGTCCAGCGCTGGGGAGGAAGAAGCCGGAGTGGCCGCTTCACTTCCGCTATGGTGGAGCGGACCAGGAAGGAAGGCTCCAGGGTGTAGGAGGAGGAGGAAGAAGGTGCGCAAGGAGGAGAGTGACAGGGGTGCTTACCTGGCTATGGTGGACGACATCTTCATCTTCTTGGTTGGCGCTGCATCTGGAAGCAAGGCCCCGAAGTGGGTGAACTTCTTCAAGGAAGACTTCGGGGCACAGGTGGCCATAGAAGAGGGCACATCCGCTTTGCATTGTCCTTTGAACATCAAAGCTAGGCTCCGCTCTTCCGTTTCTCTTTCCGAGTTTTTTCATTTGAATTGCAATTGAGCGGCATAATCGTCGGCATCGTGTTTCTTTGAATTATTGCGTTGCAAGACAGGCAGGATCATAAAAATCAAAATTATTTCACATCCATTCGTCGTGTTCCACCTCGACTCAAAACTCAAGTCTGCCTTACAACAGTTCATGGGTGTATCTTTTTTCTTTTCTTTCTTCATTTTCATGGGCGTATCAACTGAGCGAGGCCTGTTGGTGGGAGCATTTTTTGGGGGGGCTTCAGGCCCTGAGCACAGCCAGTCTATGGAACAGCGTTAAGTGGGACCCACTTTTGAATCTAAGGACCCACCCTACCTTCCTCACCCTATCCTACCTCACCCTGTAACTGTATCTGGACTGAAAGTTGCCCCAAATACAGCTACAGCTACAATGGCCAGGCGTTCTCTTCGGGTGAAGACGGTGGCGAATAACAGAGTATGTTTTTGCAATTGCTATCAACTATATGATGGCACACTCGCACTAGGACTCTTTTACGTATTTCTGGACAGAATTGGGGTCAGATACATCCAAGTAATGCCCTAATTACAGTCAGATACATTTAAGATTGTGCTATTGGGAATATGCCCTGACCGCAGCAACAATGGGCAGATTCCATTCAGAAAAACAGTCTTTGAGTGCAATGATTCTCTGATCTTTTTCTTTCCTTTTTAAAACAACTACGCTGCTGTCATGGTTTAGAGTTTCAAATGGGCAGGGGGAAAAAAAGGGGGACAGCAATTTCGGGCGGACAGTAGTTTGAAACTGGAAAAATGGCACGCATTATCAGTAATTTTCTTTTGTCGTTTTTGAATTCAGGCCCTCTGTGTGGTTATGACATCCGCACTTATTTCGAAGTGCCGCGCGACTTTTTTTTACGTTCCAACTTCCAAACTCGGCACGCGCGAGACCCGCCGGTACTCGTTTTTTGTGCCCATTTTTCGCAAACTCGTTTCCGTTCACCTCGCAGTTGGCTTTTTTTTTTGGGGGGGGGACAGTTCTCAATTTTTG